TAAAGCCATTTGGAAATCGCAGTGCAACAGAGATTATTATAAATTTACGTCAAACACGGACCGCGAGTTTTGACCCCACAACCCGTGTTTCTTTGTGAATTTATTACCCCACTGGCCTTAGCTCCCTCTCTCACGTGCCTTCTGCCTCACATACCTCTCTCGATCGATCTCGAGAACCATAGGTACCTCTCTCTCTCTCTCTCTCTCTCTCTCTCTCTCTCTCTCTCTTTTTTTTTTCTATACTCTTTTTTCTTTCTCGAGTCTTTATCGTACTTCTCTCGAGCCTCTCGCATGCCTCTCTCTAATAGTTGTCTTTCTCCTCTCTCTCTCTTCCCTCCGATCTCTGGTTACTGTGCTCTTTACGTAATTATGTGCTCATTTTTTATGGAATGACTTTCTTTTTGTGATTTTTAGCTTCCTCATTTGCAGTTTATCGTGAGATGTTTATGATATTTTAGGTTTGTAGCTTTCTGATTTATCTCCTCAGATTTTGCGATTTTACATTTGCGATAAAATTGAAAAATGTGGAATGATATTTTTATCTCCACAGATTTTTTGAGTGGGAATTTGATATATGGATGAAAGTGTGCTTGAATTGTAGACATCAATGTTTTGAGTGCCTTGTATGTAACTGGATGAAATGAAAAATATAGGATGGCTTTCCATCATTTCTTCCTTTGATTATTTAGTGTGAATTTGACAAACGGATGAAACAGGGTGCTTGATTTGTACATAGCATTGTTTCGGGCGCTATGCATGTAATTGCCTTATTTTGGATGGAATGGCTTTCTCTTTGTAATTTTTTTCTTTCCCATTTACAGTTTACTATGAGTAATTTGTGATATTAGTGATTTGTGGCTTTTTAATTTATCTCCTCTGATTTGCGATTTGAAATTTGTGATGAGATTGAAAAAGGTTGAATTGTTTTTTAATCTCCATTGATTTTTTGAGTGAGAATTTGAGATTAAAGGTGGTCTTGATTTGTAGATAGCAAAATTTCTGGTGCCCTGTATGTAACTGGATGAAATGGAAAATATGGAATAACCTTCTATCATTACCTCTAATTTTTTAGTGGAAATTTGAAGAATGGATGAAATAGGGTGCTTGACTTGTTCAAAACATTGTTTCGAGTGCCCTATACGTAATTGCCTCAATTCAAAATTACAGAATGTTTATCATTGATGTTTGAGTGAGAATTTGAGAAATGTATGAAAGAGCGTGCTTGATTTATTGTTAGCAATGTTTCGGGTGCCATGCATGTAGTATCCTCAAATGAAAATATGGGGTGGGGT